AAAATAGTGACAAAAAAGGAGTCAAAAGAATCAAAAGGAAAGGTCACAAGGATTCATAAAAGAACAAGAAGATCAATTTGCCCACAAGTAACTTTTTATATAAAAGAAATGTTTGCCATACGGTAATTTGTAGCAAAATAATGACTAGAGTGAACTTAAAAACAAAAAAAAACAAGAAAAACAAGGAAACAGTTAAACCTATAACAATATAGTTAAATAAGCTTCTATTTTAAAAAAACAAAGATAGATATTAGGAAACTGAAATCCTAGAAATCAAAACGATATTTGAATTGGGTTCATATTTTGAGTGAATCACAGCAAAGCAATTGTGGTTGGATCTGGGATTTGGTGAGGGGAAAGGGGGACAGCGCGAGTGTATGTGGAGAACCAGTCCTGGATAGGAGAACTTGGATACCCCTTTCCCGTATCCAGCCCATCGAGGTATCGAAAAAAAGAGAAGTGTGTCAGCACAAAGAGGAAACAATAGCTCGATAAAGCTATCAGGGCTTAATGAGCTGATATTGAAATTGCAGCTGATGTTGAAATAGACTTTATTTCGTGTCTCTAGGAAGGTTATGGGACATTTGCTGCCCCTTGGCAATCCAACTGGCATTGGGATATTAGCAAATTGGCATTGGCAATCGAATTTAACATTGGTACATTGGTAATCCAACTTTAAGGTCAGATTTCTTCGTGTTTCGTTGTTCAATAGAAATAGTTTTTCTACCAATCGACAGAGAAGGATTTGACGCATCTAATCATACCAAAGAATTTGGAAATCTGATAGCCCAACACCAAGGATTTGGGCTTAAGGTTAGCCAATGGGGAAAGGTACGGAAGAGGGACGATAACTCTTTAGGAAAGTTACCGTAGCCTGATAGTCAGCTATCTTTCAAGTTACCGTAACCCGATAGTCAACTATCTTTTAAAATGCAAGCCACAGCTTCCTAACTATCATCTCCTTCAGTAATCTTCATCTCCTACAGTAATCTACTTCAAGAAATCAATTTTTATCAAAAGTGTTAGCCTAGCTTTTGTTTTCACATGGATATCGAGATTTCCGAGCCTATCAAACCAGTCCTATCCCTGGATCCCCCTCTCTATCCATAAATTCCATCCAAAAACGCTCATCCAGCTCTCGGGGAGATGAATGAAAGCTGAATGATATAAGTGAAAGAGAACTAAAAAACAATCCAATATGAGTCATCAATGTGAAAAAAATGTGGATTTTTAAGTTTTTAAGTATCTCTTAAATAGTTATAAATACTTTACCTACAGTAATCATTCAAACTGACTTATCATTCAAACTGACTTTGTGCAAACACGCGACACAATCACTCTGACACAATCACTCTGACACAATCACTTTGACACAATCACTCTGACACAATCACTCTGACACAGTCACTCTGACACAATCACCCTGACACAATCACCCTGACACAATCACTCTGACACAATCACTCTGACACAGTCACTCTGACACAATCACTTTGACACAATCACTCTGATACAATCACTCTGTGCTGGATATGAGTCAAAGAGAACAAAAAAGCTATTCAAGATGGATTGATTCCTTTTAAGGCCAAAACTTGTTTAAACTTTTCTTAAAAGGTCAAGATATTCAGCCAATAACTTGTTTAAACACAGTTTTTCCCATGCACTAATCGTTTTGTTTGTGATTGTTTTCAAAACGATAGAAAAATCGAGAAAATCGAGAAAATCCTTCACTCGTCACTCCATCAAATTCAACGAAAAGTTCAAGGACATTCGTTTGGATTTTCTGTAAACATCTACCGCAAAAAGAGGAGTTTCCAGTGAACTATAAGTGATTTATTTCGGGTGAGGGGGAAATCGTGCAGCACTATTTTCTTCTAGGTTCTATTAGGTACATGCATAAGAAATACGGATTTCAACATTTTCCTAAAATTTCCAACGATAGAAACCTGATATCGATGAATGTTATGTTTGAAAGTTGTTACTATTTGAAAGTTGCAAATCTCCTCTACAAAATCAGCTAAAACGTGTTTCAATTGATCGAAGCATTGAAGAAATTTCTGAAGCCGAAAATGCGAGTGACCAAAAATGAATCGAGTCACTTTAGGGACAAGTTTAGTGTCGTCGAAAGGAAAGTTTTAAGAATAGAAAACTAAGCTTTAAGAATTGAAAACTAAGCTTTAAGAATAGAAAACTAAGCTTTAAGAATTGAAAACTAAGCTTTAAGAATTGAAAACTAAGCTTTAAGAATTGAAAACTAAGTTTTAAGAATAGAAAACTAAGCTTTAAGAATTGAAAACTAAGCTTCGAGAATCAAAAAGAAACTTCAAACTTATTGTGGTTATCTAGAAGCCGTTCAACGTTGATTGAGAATTACGCGTCGTCGCGTCGGCACTAAAGCTCTCATTTCTTAGCTTACTGTTTGAAAGTCCCCCCTATAAAATATGACTTCAAAAGGATTTTCAAAGTAATTTAGACATTCATCTAGATGATTGCAAAAACGAGAACATACACGTGAACATCCACACACTACGTAATGGGGTTACGGGAAAAGGATCAGCTTTCCAGGCTTTTGTCCGTTCCCCTGTACTCGCCGTTTTCACGCTTGTTGAACAAATAGGACAAATAGAAAATCGGGTAATGCTTGAATGGATTGAGAATCGCTTCCCTTGCCAATTTGGAAAGAACTCCCGAAATGCTATTCACTTATAGAATTCGATTCGATTTTCAAAAATCCATTAAATGAAGAAAAAGGAGAAATGAAAAGAAATGAAAAGAAATGAAAAGAAATGAAAAGAAATGAAAAGAAACAGATTACACCAAAGTTGATAAGCTAGGAAGCTAGGAAAGGTTTTTGAAATGAAATGGAAATGAAATGAAATGAAATGAAATGAAATGGAAATGGAAATCAAATCAAATCAAATGGAAATGAAAATGAAATGAAATGGAGAACGGAAATGAAATGAAATGAACTTGGATAACGGGAATACCAATCTGAGCTATCATTTTGAAGTTCTGGCTATCAGTTTAAAGTTTAGAAACTGTTTTTTTGCCTTTAAATTCCCTATTTAGGTAGATTTTGTTTGTGTTTACGCAGTTGAAAAGCAATTTTTGCTTAAATTTCAAATTTCCCAGTGAAAGATAGCTTTAGATTCATTGCTTTAGAGAGATTTTATGCGAAATTCGAATAGATTTAAATATTGGGTTGGGGAGAATGAGTCGGCGCCGAACTTTAAAGGGACTTTTTGCACACATAAAGCCTTCTTTAAACATACGTTTGGTTTCATCAAAAGGATCCACTATTTCTCTACAAAATCACTTTTGAGAGATTCCACAAAGCTTTTCTTTCGTGGAGTTTATGAACTTCCAAACGCAGCTGGTTAAAATGGCAAAGAGCCCGACTCATCCATTTGAACAGTTTCTTTCACATAAACCTTCTTTGGTGTTTATATAAAAAAGATAGAGCACATTCAATTACTTAAGTTGCCAAATTTGCAGGAAGATCCCACCAATGGTTTTTTCTAGATGACAATTTGTAGTTTTTGTGGAAAGATGACCTTTTCTTGAGCTGAGACGATGTTTGAGTTTTCTTTTAAATGTCATTTTGTAGAGAATTAGTTAACCATTCTACTCATATCAAACGCATATTATTTGACGAAGTCGAATAGAAGTTTTAGACATTTTTTTGATTTTCGGCGCCGACTCATTCTCCCCAACCCAATAGATGTTTGTGTTTACACAGTTGAAAAGCAATTTTTGCTTAAATTTCAAATTTCCCAGTGAAAGATAGCTTTAGATTCATTGCATCAGAGAGATTTTATGCGAAATTCGAATAGCAGTTTTGAAAAACGAGTTGAAAGACACTTTTCTTTTGATCAACACCGACTTTCACGTGTTTGTAGACTCGACGGCGTTTCCGAGTTCACACTTTGCCGAGAACGTTGGAATGAGCGCCTCTGGAAATGATTGTTTTATTGAAAAAAAAAAGTTTTATCGAAGTTTTTAGGTCAATACTTAATCTTAATCTGACCAGTAAAATCTTCTTGACAACTTTGGTTATGTAATACTTTGTGAAACTTTGATTTGGTTATTTTTTGGCTTAAATTTAAAAATAAACTAAACTACAGGGTGCTCAAGAATTACCGCAACACACAAAAGGCTCGGCTTTTAAAAACTTTCTAAAGATTTTTAGGCGTTAAAAGATTGAAAACAAAAGATATTAAGTCTATTTCTTTTTCTAGATAGAACAAATTTTCTTTTATTAAAGTAGTCAAGTGTTTTTAATCATTTTTCAATCTAAAGGGTGAACAAGAATTACCGGAACACACAAAAGGCCTTCCTTTTAACCAAATTTCCAAACCATCTCGAAAAGTTAACTTAAATAACCTTATTCAACATTTAACAGTAACAAATTAACAATTAAATTCGCCTCCATCTGCATTCAGACAAGCCTATAAACGTTTGGGAAACGCGTTGACCGTGGCGAGTACCGTGGCGTAGGCATCATCGATATCCCATGCTTTGATCAGCGCTTTCTTCAAACTTTCGATATTTTTATGTGGTTTTGCACATTGCCCTGGCTTCAAGAATATTCCAGACTGAGTAATCCAATGGGTTAAGATGAGGGTGAGCTGGGTGGCCACTCAGAAAACGAGAGCAAGTCCGGGAAGTCCGGGAATCGCTTGCCCTTCGCTGATAGTAATTAAGCTTTTTTTCTTCTTGTACGGCTTCATTTTCAGCTTTTTCTTGATGATTGTGTTGGCGGAGCCTCTCTTCAGACCCATTTTTTGTGTCATTCTGTGTCAGCCGATTGGTTAGGGTTTAATCTTAGACGATCGCGCACTTTCTTGACATTAGCCGGAGTAGCCGCTGTTCGTTTTGCACCTCTTCGGAATCGATCGGCGATCAGAAACTGTGCCCAGAGTTTCATAACGTTGAATGGTTCGAGAAACGAGACTTCTGGGGGACATTCAGGCGCTTTGAGATCTCGCTCGCCTGAACACGCTGCCGCTTGAGCTCAAGGATCGATTGTCGATCCTTGTGGAGACGCTTTCACCATTCCTGAAAACAACCGGCATTCAGACAAGCCTGCAGACGTTTGGGAAACGCGTTGATCGTGGCGAGTACCGTGGCGTAGGCATCATCGAGGGTATCCCATGCTTTGATGAGCGCCTTCTTCAAATTTTCGATTCTAATGTTTTGAAAGTTAGTAATCATACCATAAAATAAGAAAAATGCACAAAAATCATAAAAATAGGTAAGCAAAACGTGAAATTGGGCTCATAACACGTTGCAACGCGTTGTCGTTGTCGCGGTAATTCTTGGTCACCCTGTATTATCGTCATTCGATAGCCCATCTTCTCCTCTCAAAAACTAGTATAAAGTTATCGAGAAGTTTTTACAAAATAACGAATAAAATGCTTTAAAACGACACTAAAAGTGGATTGAAATTGGAATGGAATGGATGGAATGTTCAGAGCTCAACCTCATCCTCTTCTCGATTCGACCACGCGTGAAAATCGATGAACAACACGTAAAGCCAAGCGCCGACAAATCCACCAATCAACGGCCCAAGGATTGGCACCCACCAGTAATAATCGTCTTTTCTAAAAGTTAAGCTTTATTCCATAACTGTCTAGTACTTGCTTTGGGTTTTGGATTAATGACAGCTCTCAAACTTAAACTCAAACTTACGTCCAAACTCCTTTCCCATAAATGATGAACATGAACAAACGAGCGCCGAGATCTCTTGCTGCGTGAATTGGATAAGCGTCGTTTTGAGCGAACGCAAGTCCGATTGTGAGCACCTGAAGGTTTAGATTTTCTATTGATTTCTTTGATAGAATAATCCAGTACAGATTTGTTTATGTGGTTCGATAGGGATGGCCAGATGGGCCCCGAGTTGAGTCAGAGGTTCTTGATCACTCCTTGATCACTTCTTGATCTCTTGATCACTTCTTGATCTCTTGATCACTTCTTGATCTCTTGATCACTTCTTGATCTCTTGATCACTTCTTGATCTCTTGATCACTTCTTGATCTCTTGATCACTTCTTGATCTCTTGATCACGATTGTTAGTCGAGTCGAGTCACTATTTAAATATTTTACTTCTCAACTCAAGAAGCTACGAGGAAAATTCTAAAGGATTTGCAAATTGTAATGCAAAATGCAAATTGATTCTGAGTGCACCAAGTCGTTCAAACACCGGATGATCTGGAATGCTTTATGGATTTCAGCTCAATATGAAAATTGGATGCTGAATGGGAGATGACTTGCAATGGAAATCCGGCAACATCAATGGAACTCTATCTTCAATGGATTAAGAATCACTTCCGTTGCCAATTTGGAAAGAACGCCCAAAATGCTTTCGTTCAAGAATTGTGTGATTAATCTGATGGCTGGATGGTTTCATTCATTCATTCATTGAAAGAAGGATTTCTAAAGATGCAAGATTTCGCAAGATGCTTGACTTGAACAATTAATAAATGGAGATTTAGAAATATTGAATTGGATGGGGAGAATGATTCGGATAACGATTCTTGATCTTGTTCTTGATTTCTTCACTAGACTTTCTTCGATTCTGTTCTTGATTTCTTCAATAGATTTCTTCGATTCTCTTCTTGATTTCTTCGATTCTATTCTTGATTTCTTGACTAGGCTTTCCTCGATTCTGTTCTTGATTTCTTGGCTAGACTTTCTTTGAGTCTGTTGATGATTTCTTGACTAGGCTTTCCTCGATTCTGTTCTTGATTTCTTGGCTAGACTTTCTTTGAGTCTGTTGATGATTTCTTGACTAGGCTTTCCTCGATTCTGTTCTTGATTTCTTGGCTAGACTTTCTTTGAGTCTGTTGATGATTTCTTGACTAGGCTTTCCTCGATCCTGTTCTTGATTTCTTGACTAGATTTCTTCGATTCTGTCCCTGATTTCTTCACTAGACTTTCTTCAATTCTCTTCTTGATTTCTTCAATAGATCTCTTCAATTCTCATTTTGATTTCTTCACTAGACTTTCTTCGATTCTGTTCCTGTTTTCTTGAATTCTATTCTACATTTAAGGCTTAGGAGTTTTGCTTGTGTATTTACCACCTTATTTGTGTGAATATATATTTTCTAAATACCGTTAGTCCTCCAAAGAGTGGATGCAAAAATTTCGGCACTCCATTCTTTGGATCGAGCATCGCCGCCATCGTCATACAGAGAATAGCTGTGCCAACGATCTGAAATAGGCTTTTGTGTACTTTGTGCTCAATAAACCTTTCTGTACTTATGTTTAGGGATTTCAAGCAATTTCAAGCGATTACAGAGCCTGTAATCTGTCCAGAGCTGAAGCTCCAGTTCAGAGCTGGAGCTCCAGTCCAGAGGAGAGGATCCAAAATGGCCAGCAAAGCAAAAGTTGGATCTGGTTGGTTGGGTGTGAATGAGGATTGAGCAAAGGCAGGCTTGTCTTTTAAAGAAAGCAAACATGAAAGCCACCTGATCAAATAAAGCGCTCAGTTTTGTCGAATACGGTGCGATACAAGTGACGAAGAAGCACAGCGTTCCATTCGGGCCATCGATTTGTCGTCGACCTCCATCATAGAAATTGAGTGTTTCCAAATAGTCAAGATAAGCCGTAGCCGTCCCAACAAAGGCACCGAATATCTAAATTTTTTCAGTAAATCGGGATTCTTGACTTAAAGGGATATATCGCTGAAAGAAGATGGTAAGGACAGGAAATTTTGCAGGCAATTTTACAGGTAATTTGGCGCCTAGGGTAAGCCAAGTCAAAACTGAAGGATGGAAAAGTCGTCTTCTTTTAGGACGATGTTTAGTGGTGTTACCTGTATTGGAATGTAGGCTAACACTTGTTGTATCGAGGCTCGACCGAGGGACCAAAGCACCAATGTTACTGAGGGATTCGTTTGACCGCCTGGAATTGATCGTTCTAATTGATCTACCTATAGATCTACCTCTAGGTCTACCTTTAGGTCTACCTTCAGATCTACCTTTAGATCTACCTTTGGGTCTACCTTTGGGTCTACCTTTGGGTCTACCTTTGGGTCTACCTATAGGTCTACCTATAGATCTACCTACAGATCTACCAATAGATCTACCTACAGATCTACCTACAGATCTACCTAATTGATCTACCTAATTGATCTACCTATAGATCTACCTATAGATCTATCTATAGATCTACCAATAGATCTACCTATAGATCTACCTACAGATCTACCAATAGATCTACCTACAGATCTACCTACAGATCTACCTACAGATCTACCTAATTGATCTACGTAATTGATCTACCTATAGATCTACCAATAGATCTACCAATAGATCTACCTACAGATCTACCTACAGATCTACCTAATTGATCTACCTCTAGATCTACCTATAGATCTATCTAATTGTTCTATCTAATGTCCTCTAATAGAACACCGTACAGTCGTGTAGTTTAACTTCTTTCTAGAAATTCAGTTCTTTCTCAGCTTCTAGATCTTTCACAACTAAACTTTTGATATCAAAAATACTAGATTCCAAGAGCTATCGTTTACGTAAACTCTAGCTTAAAGCAGTGAGAATTGGACGTTTAAAGTTCGACTACGCGACTGTACGCTTAGCATTATGGCGTTCTATTAGAGGAGTTTCCACCCTTTCCTCTCGATTATCGTAATTCTTTCTCTATTTTATCTATTTTATCCAATCAAATTGTATCATTTTATCGATTGTATCATTGTGAACTCTTACAGAAATTAAGCCAGTGGATAGATTGGATAATAGAGCCAAAAAATAGAGCCCTAAAAAAGTGAATAGATTGGAATGATGAAAGCTTAAAAGATTACGGTAATTGGACTAAAATTTGACTAAAATTGGACATTTTAGAGAAACACATTTATTCTTCATCCACCCGATAAACCGATGCCGACCATTGTCGAGAACATGACCGCCATTCCCCAGCACAAATTCAGCGTCAGGAAATTCCCCTCCACTCCCTTGACGGCTTTGATTTGCACCGATGTGCCGACACCGATTAGCTGAATATCTTTGGCTTGTTTTTAAAGCTTGTTTTTAAAGCTAAAGTTTGATACAAAGTCAATTTATCAATTCTAGAGCATTATGCAATAAGATCTAGCAAATTAGCTAAAAATTTCATTTAATTTATTTGTGAGATCAAAGATCAACTAAGAAAGGGTTAAAACTCTCAACGAGAAAGGAAAGGTCAACTGGCTGATCTCCACCATTCACAGAATTTCATGCTGATTCCAAATATATATTCCGTTTTTGCTTAAGGACAATCTATCAGAAGTTATAAGCGTTTAAAGTTTTTTTGAGGCTTTGAAATGTGATGGATCTTAGCAGCCTTTCTTTAGCGATTCTCATCTCCGAATTGCTTCTCTCAATTCGATAATTTCTCTCCGCTTTCTCACCGATTTTCTGTTTCGAAGCTGTGCTTTTCTCAGCATTCATCGATTGACTTCGATGCAAAATCTTTTCGTTCAATCGAATTTCGAAGTTCGAAGAATCGTTTCGAATCGAATCGAATTGATCTGTTCAATCGAAGGAGCTTTTGTTGATAGAGATCTCTGTTCTCTGATCAATGAGCTCTCCTCATGAGCTCTTGAAAATCCCAGACGAAGCTTTGTGGCCAGAGTCCAGTGCAGCTTTGGCCGAGTGGTACAGCATTCGTTTTCAGAGTTCGAGATTAGATAGATCTCACAAATTTGATCCTCACTTTGAACTATTCTTTTGCTTTTTTCAAGAATTTTTTGTGTTCAAGAACTAGGATTCTTTGTGCGCCGAAAAAACGAGAAAAATTCAAAGTGGGAATCGAATAGGTGACATTTCAGGCTTTCAAATGGTACCAAATAGAGTTTTCCATGCAAAGCAGGCGACCCGACCCCCGAGTTGGGTGGGCCTCTTTTGCTGAGTTGGTTCTGATTTTCTTGGACTCGATTATCCAATCAAGCTCTATTTGGTATCATTTCTCGCTCTGAAAACGAACGCTGTACCAGTCGGCCAAAGCTGCACTGGACTGGGGCCGCATGGAGGCGGCTAAGACTGAAATGATCACACTTTTATAGTGCCTGTAGTACTAGACGTTAACCATGGGAACCTGTAGTACTAGACCCTGGAGTACTAGAAAGTGGGGATCGAATTTGCGAAGTCTCCCTCTGAAAACGAACGCTGTACCAGTCGGCCAAAGCTGTAAGGCCAAAGCTACTGGACTGAGACCGCAAGGAGGAGGCTAAGACTGAAATGAACTGAATGATCACACTTTTATAGTGCTAATAAAACTTTAGACGCTTATAACTTCTGATAGATTATCATTTAGCAAAAAAGGAATATATATTCGGAATCAGCATGAAATTCTGCGAATTGTAGAGGTCGTATAACTCAACCAGTTCACTTTCCCTTGTAAGAAAGTCAAGAGTTAAAATTGAAATCATTATTTAAAGATTATAAGACTTATATGAAGCTTATGAGACTAAAAACTAGCACTAGAAGAACTTTAAAGAACAGAACAAGAGTGTCGCGCTTGAAAATCGTGTGTCTAGTCATTTTAAGCAATGAAGTACACTAGAAATAGGTAAAGATTTAGCTATAGCATAGCCCTAGTGTGCCAGAGAGGATGCTTTTTCATTCGAGTATCAAATCCATCAACTCTGGACTCACTAATCGTCACTCTATGCACTTACCAAAAAGAGAAATGAGCAAACGAATTCGCATAGACATTCTCTCGCCAAGCGATTTCTCAATCGCAGAAAATCGGGGAAATATTTTGAGGTTTTGAAGGCAAAATGATCATCGTTTTCCTTGAGTTTTGATGATTTTGAAGAATCAATTCTTCTCAATCGTTCCTCCATATTCAATGATCAAATATGAGGCTGAGTTGAGGCTCAACCCATTCGTTTTCTTTTCCAAACACTCTAAAGTACATTTAAGTACAAATTGAACGTTAGAATCTTGATTTAAGGACAAAATGAAAGCTAAAATCTTGCTTTAAGTACAAACTAAACGTTAGAATCTTGATTTAAGTACAAACGGAACGTTAAAAACTTGGCTTAAGTACAAATTAAACGTTAGAATCTTGATTTAAGTACAAGTAAACGTTAAAATCTTGATTTAAGAACAAAATGAAAGCTAAAAACTTGATTTAGGTACAAATTAAACATTAAAATCTTGAGTTAAACACAAAATGAAAGCTAAAATCTTGCTTTAAGTACAAGTTAAACGTTAGAATCTAGATCTACGAACAAAATGAAAGCCAAAATCATGATTTAAGTACAAATTAAACATTAAAATCTTGCTTTAAGTCCAAATTAAACATTAAAATCTTGAGTTAAACACAAAATGAAAGCTAAAATCTTGCTTTAAGTACAAGTTAAACGTTAGAATCTTGATCTACGAACAAAATGAAAGCTAAAATCTTGGTTTAAGTACAAAATGAAAGCCAAAATCATGATTTAAGTACAAATTAAACATTAAAATCTTGCTTTAAGTACAAATTAAACGTTAGAATCTTGATCTACGAACAAAATGAAAGCCAAAATCATGATTTAAGTACAAATTAAACATTAAAATCTTGGTTTAAGTCCAAATTAAACATTAAAATCTTGATCTAGACACAAAATTGTTGATTTTCTGGTAATTGCTGAATAAATTCTTATTATTAGTAAAGATTTCTATGAAAATTTTGTGAACAATTTGTATACTCAACAAGTAAGAAAGATTTCTAAGTCGATCGAGCAAATTATCCTGCGCAAATGCCAGATTTTGGATCGGATTACTCTTCTCGAATGAGAAGAATACATTATCAGGAAAGATAACTCAAAAAAAAGCAAAGGTAAAGCTATGAACAAGCAAATCTGTGTAATATTTTAAGAATTAGCTTCTAGAATCAGCTAAAATCTCAAACATTTGATCAGTTGATCAGCTGTAAATTCGAAAAATGTTGAAACACTTTCTTTTTTAGAGAAAAAAAAACGCTTTCTTTCTTTCTTTCTTTCTTTCTCCATTCTTTACGTTCACTCATTGTTTAAAAGACGTTATTTATAATCCATTTTATGTTTTATTTTTTTAAAACATTTATCCATCCAATCCTCACTCAAGAAAATTCTGCACTTGTTGACAAATCAGCTTCCCACTTTCACATAGTTGGCTTTGAAGGCTCATAACTTTGTTTAGAGACAATAATACTGTTAAATTTTTATCTAGTTTAAAAAAAACATTTCAAGCTTTTAAATGAGACAAAATAGAGGTTGATTGGATCACAGAATCCGTAGAAAATCATTCTCAAAGTAAAAGCAAAATCCCTGTGTAAATGCGAGAGGTTCTTTGTGCGCGAGCACAATCGTTCTCGATCTGGCAAACCGGCTTGGATAGGGTGGCTCCATTTTGGAATTTGTCAACAATTTCTAAACTGACTAAAACTCGGCTTCTTCCTGCTCACAGACTTCTCCTTTCTTTCTCCTTTCTTCTTCGATCACAACGAGCTGATATCATCGTTGTCATCGATGCCAACAACGTCGAAAAGGTTTTTCGAGTTTAATCTAGATATTATTATCTGAAAGGCTACTGTAGCTTACGTTTGGAAGCTACAGTACCCAGTAGCTATTTTAATTGCTTTGTCGAACCGGGACGTTTACGTCGAAAGGCTACTGTGGCTTGAGATTACAATATCCAATAAATTCTGTAGTTTATAGTTCTTGTTCCCCTTTCCCACTAAATCTCTTCTAGTTTTGTGGGAAATTTCAAAAAAGGAGCAGCTACGAAAGAATCTATGCAGAAAAAGGGGCACGGCTTCGTAAAATAGCCTCATTTGTTTGAATTTTCGGCTCTTGCTTAGTTTCCGGGCATTTTGAATGAGTCGTCCTTTCAAAGCCTATAATTTTGTCCAGAGATAATATTATTCTTAACTTTTTATATTGTTGAATAGATGACATTTTAGGCTTTCAAATGATACCAAATAGAGCTTGATTGACTTTTTGCTTTTCCATGCAAAGCAGGCGACACGACACCCGAGTTGGGTGGGCCTCTTTTGCTGAGTTGGTTCTGATTTTCTTGGACTCGATTTTCCAATCAAGCTCTATTTGGTATCATTTAAAAGCCTGAAATGTCATCTATACAATGAAATAAAAAGTTTTGAATGATCTATATCTCTCAAATCGCTTGGCTAATCACCAAAACTGAAAACCGATTCGTGTTTGACGTTTCAAGTAACAAAATAAAAAGAAATAACAAAAATTTAAATAAATCTTTATGGAACAATGATCGAAAGATCAAAATTCACCATTTCTAGTGCACAGAAAAGTCCTGTCATTCATCGATTTTCTAACTTCTCACATTGATAATACTTTGTCGTCGAATGAAACTCAGACTGATCGATGAGGAGCCTTTTTCTGAAATTAGCACAGATACTTTATCTTTTCATTATAGTAATAATAAAGTGAAAGAATTGACAAGGAGAAGTGGGAGATTGAATTGCTGGATTAAAGGGGATTGAACCACTGAAAAAGGGGATTCAACCATGGCCTTTTTCTTCCCTTGCTTGTTCGTCTATTGCTCGAACCATTGAGCTATTCGGTGCTTTGACTTGCGAAGGGAAAGAAGGAAAGAGAAAGGAAGAAGAAAGAAAGGAAGAAGAAAGAAAGAAAGGAAGAAAGAAAGAAGAAAAGGTTTTCTCTTTTTCCTCACTTTTCACGAAAAAAGTCTTTTGAATGAGTGAAGATAGATGTCTCTTGTAGACAGAGCAATTCAAATAGGCTATCGCTGAAGCAGTTCCCTGGAAACAAGAGAGCAAGATCAACCAGAAGTTCAGAACTAAAAAGAAATTCTGTGCACTAAAAGCGTTGTGTTTACAAGGATCACAAAGTACAGCCAAAAAATCAGATTTACCAGCTAAATGCTCATTCCCGGACGCTAAAATACCCATCAATCCAAGCATTGGCACAGTTTCTAAGGAGAAAAAGATGGCTATCTAAAAAGATCATAGTAAAATACAGTACACAGTACTTTTCAATATCAAAAAGAAGAAGTTATTTAGCTTTAACCCTAGACTCAAGCCTTGTACTTTGTGCTTGAAAACGCGCGCTTTCTAGCGCACTCCTCTTCTCAATCTGCTAGAAAACGCGCGTTAATCAGAGCACAAAGTGCACAAGTGTTGTAATGATAATCTAAAGACTACTGTAACTTGTAAAACTTTAGAATAACTTGTAAATCTAAACAAACCTGTAAATAAACTTGTTTCAACCATTCTTTTTGCATTTTTAACGTCTTTTGACTCATGAATTTCTCAAGAGTTTTCAGGATTGTTAAAGTTGAGAAAATTAGAGCTAAAACTGAATAAAAAATGCTACCAATATACAAAACTTACAGAAAAACACGAAAATATAGAAAAATATTAAAGACGTAAAGAAAAAAAGACTCCGATAGTTGAGGGAATTGTCGATTGCCGAACTGCTTGGCTGGTGAAAGAATGGAGACAAATAGGGATACTTCTGAAAAAAAAAACCCCTTCTCTAAAACGTGGAAATTTCTATCGATTAATGCAACCTTGAATAGCGCGAGACAACTGTGCGCTCTTTCCCTGTCGCTCGGAGGAAAAAGCGGCGTCTGGCACACTGCCCCCGGATAGGCACCGCCGGGAAGCACCCTCTAGCCGGTTTAATTACCCAAGTTTTGGGTAATTGTTATTATTATTATTATTATTATTATTTATTATTATTATTATTATTATTTTTATTATTATTTTTATTATTTTTATTTTTATTATTATTATTTTTATTTTTATTATTATTATTTTTATTTTTATTATTATTATTTTTATTTTTATTATTATTATTTTTATTATTATTATTTTTATTATTATTATTTTTATTATTATTATTTTTATTATTATTTTTATTGCTATTATTACTCTCAACATTTTTCCACTGGTAAATTTAGTTTCTCTTTGGTAATTAACAATATTCCTATCAATTACATTAGTAAATTAGATTTTGTTAAAGATTTAGGTGTCCACATCTCTCCCCCTTTTAATTTCACTAAACATATTGAAATCATTTGTCGAAAAGCTTCTTTTGTTTCTGGCCGTATTCTCAAATCAATTGTTCATCCTAACCTAAACTCTTACCGCAAATGCTTGACGACTTATATCCGGCCCATCTTAGAATATGCTTCTATTGTTTGGTCTCCCCGCGCACAAGTCTTTATTGAACGCTTGGAGAAAATTCAGAGGAGGTTCACAAAAGTCGCTTTATGGAAAATTGACTATTCTAAATATTCTAGCTTAACTTATGAGGAGAGACTTGCTTTTTTTGAACTAAAAACTTTACAGCATCGTCGCTTTGTCATTGATTTAGTCGAAACTTTCAAAATCCTCCGTTGTAAACAGATTAGCCCTTTGTTTATAGACTTTTTCAAATTTAAACCGCGGTCAGGGTCCAGAAGTGGCTCATTCCTTTTGCAAATTCCCTTTGCTTCCAATGCCTCTTTATCAAATTCATTTCCCGTTAGAGCCGCTAGATTATGGAACTTGCTCCCAAACGACATACGAGAAATTCAGTCGCTTTTCATATTCAAGAAACGTATCGATGCTTTAGATCTAGTGGCTCTTTGCCGTAAGTAATTGGCTTATTGATTTCGGTATGTATTGTATGATTAAGTATCACTGTGCATTTCTCTTTCTTTCACTTTATCGTTTGAATAAAGTATTATTATTATTATTATTACTATTATTATTGTTTTTATTTTTATTACTATTATTATTGTTTTGATTATTACCAGCTTAATTATCCAACTTTTGGGTTTTCAATGTTCACTTAATTTCGATAAAGAAAAGCCATAGTTTTGATTGAATAACAAGTATAGGCTTACAATTAAAGTCCTATCCTAGTACAGAGAGCGTAAAATAAGAGAATTCAACGATTTCTCGTGGGCCAGAAGGCAAACGATTACGGGAACACAAAGAACGTCTACTTGCCATCTACAAATCTACGCAAAACAAATGTCTCTTTCCTTACTATAGCCAAAAATTGGCAGTAATTGTAAAATGATTGCTTCCAGAGTCAGCACTAGGCCTAAATCCGCAAAATTTTTAAGAATTTAATTTTTTTCTCGTTTAAATCATTGACATTTTCGATTTTCCCCAGCGCTGCGTGATAATCGTAGCTCCAAAACAGTACAGCCATTGTCAAACTGCAGAAAGCGGGCAGGGAATAGCACGAGTAAATCCATAAATTTCTTGCACTGAAAAGGAAAATGCTGTAGAAAAATGAATTTGATCAAAATTCCCTACACTTTTCCCAATTTCAACCAATGATTGGCGGGCAAAATGGCTTGGTGACGCGAGAAAACGATTAGTTGAACCATTGAGAGCATCGAAAATAAAGCGAAGCTTGAAAAGACCTAGGAATGAAGCAAAATCTTATGCAAAGTCTTTTCTTGATTCGTTTTCGAAAAAGCACCTATTCTAGACAAACGACCGTAATCTCATCGTCAGTTTTCATTCAATTAGCTCGATTTTCATATTATTTAACTGAGCCTTAAGATTCCTTCATGAAATTCGACCAAATTGAGCTGATCCAAAAGCTAATCAGCTTTTGGGCTTTTATCGATAATTTACCATTTGCCAATAGATTCCGATTCCTAACTCGGTGAATAGCCCAACCGTGAAACCGACAAATGCTGGGAGTCCAAGAAACGGAAATTGACAATAAATGACACCGAATTCGAAAATCATTTGAAAGCTCTGTAAATTTCAAAATTTCCTATCTAGCACCTACCGTAAATGCTGTAATTGGACCCCACCGCCCATAATGACGGTGTGGAGCGTTGCGTAGTCTAGCTTTGAACGAGTTTTTCTCGGCACTGGTTTATGATACAATGCTCGTTTTGGTATCAAAAAATAGCCTTGAATTTCAGCTATTTTTTCATACCAAAGACGCATTTTTTGAAAGTACGGGTGCTTCGAAAAAAAATGAAATACTAAAAAACTCTTGCGACTACGCGACTGTACGAGGGCGGTGGGGTACTATTACAGTAGTTACGGTAAGTCAAAACTGTAAAAAATGTTGCTTTAGCAGTTAAAAGTACTGTAAAGATCGAGTTTCGTCAACCAGATCTTTCAAGATGTACTTTGTGCTCTCAAAAACAGAAAAACACACCCCATCTGGCGCAGTGAGCTTCGCATTTTTTTTGCAGGATAATTTACTTGTAACTGTACTTGACTTTGTGTTCTTTGTGCTCGAGATGGGTAAACACACACCCTCTGGTGCACGACGTTCTTTAGTTTATTGTTTAATCAGGACTAGTACGCTAGAAAGGGTATGTTTCCAATTTTTGAGCATAAAGTACACTTGAAGCCATTGCTTGGAAGTTTTTGTACTTTGTGCGCAAAGATGGGTAAACACAAATGCTCTGGCGCACTGGTTTCTTCATTTTTCACCATAACGACTTACGTGTAACGTTAAAATATGCCATCGGAAATTGCCCAAGCTTTTCGGTGTAGCAAAAACGATTAAATAGACGACAAGCAAGTTGAGGATCAAAGTGGAAACTTGAATTTAAATGCAAATTTGGATGGAAATTTGGATGGAAATTTGGATGGAAATTTGGATGGAAATTTGGATGGAAATTTGGATGCAATCCATGCCTGAATCCGAATTTGAATCCGAATTAGAACCCGAATTAGAATCCGAATTAGAACCCGAATTAGAATCCGAATTAGAACCCGAATTAGAATCCGAATTAGAACCCGAATTAGAACCCGAATTTGAACCCGAATTTGAATCCGAATTTGAATCCGAATTAGAACCCGAATTAGAACCCGAATTAGAATCCGAATTTGAAGCCGAATATAAATCCGAATATAAATCCGAATATAAATCCGAATATAAATCCGAATTTAAACCCGAATTTGAATCCGAATCTAAATCCGAATTTAAATCTGAATGTAAATCCGAATTTCAATCCGAATTTCAAACCTTCTTTTAAAAAAACCCACCCGCAAACACTCGGACATACCCAAGGACACTCATCGAATAGCTAAAGTCAATCACATTACTGGAAATCATGTTTTGAAATGAAATTCTAGAATTGAATGTGGATTTTTGAATCTAGACATGTTTTTGGGAAAACAGGTGAATTTTTGGCTTCTTTAGTGAGCTTTGAGCTTTTAGTTTTAGCTTGAAAGCTGAAACAGCTGAAAAGTTTGCTGTTTGGCGTCAAAAACATTGAGTTTATAGAAAAATGGGTTAAAAAAATCGGTGAAAAACTTGCTAGTGATTGTAAAATTGTAATTTTGTAATGTGATTGTAAAATTCTTGTAATGTAAAGTGATTGTAAAGTGATTGTAAAATTCTTGTATAAACCGGGAACACTTTATTCAATCAATAAATAAAGAATAAATAAAGAATAAATAAAGAATAAATAAATAATTATATCACAAATTTGAATGGCAATTTCTTAGCTCTTTATTCTTTGAGCTTTTTTCTGAGATTCTCCTTGATGTCGTCGATCGATTCGGTAATTCGTCGGCGTTGTGCATCGGTGATGTGACCAGTTAGCGACTGAAATTGAGATTTTATGTATTGAGGATCTTATTTTGTAGCATAGTTCAACGGACTAGCATCTTCGCATCATCTACGGAGTACTGTAGCTGTAGCTGTAGAGTACTGTAGCTCTACAGCTCTACAGCTACAGCTCTACAGTACTGTAGCTCTACAGCTACAGTACTCTGTAGAACTGGTACAGAACTATAGTCCAGTAATGAAAGCACAGAACTGATAGAGAATCTACAGTGCGTTCCAAAAGTTTAGACGGTAGCGCAAAATGGGCGTTTCCGTAAAAAATGCAACTAAATTTTTTGTTATTTTTATCTACATTAATGTAAAATACCGAAAAACTTTTAAGAAAAAACTTTTAGCTCACTGGCTTTGATGAAAATAAAAAAATATCGACTTTATCGAAAACCGGGTGTTCCAAAAGTTTAGACGGTTTGGAATTTTATCTTTAAAAATTAATTTTTTTTTCAATATTTTTGTTTCTTTTTCTATACTGAACTTTTGCGTAATGATCTATTTTACAGGAAATAGGCAAGAAGGGGAAGATTTTCGCTCTCAAGATTTCACAGATTGAGGCTTACCGTAACGCCGGGTGGACCTTCAACAAAATTGCAGAGAAACTTAATCGTTCTGAGCCAGGAGTTCGAAAAGCATTTGGAAGGATCAACAATAAACGTCCCAATAAGAAAATGGGTAGACCCACCAAGTTATCTGAAAGAGATCGACGACGTTTGTCAGATGCTGCTTCGAATTCGCCAAAGACAGCGAAGGAGTTAGCGGCTGAGTGTGGGCTCAAAGTATCAAAACAAACGATTCTGCGAAGTTTGGAAGAAAATCCTAATCTGCAAAGAATTAAGATGATGCCAGCTCCAAAATTAAAGGATATTCACAAAAGAGCACGTTTAGACTTCGCTCAACGTGAAATGAATTGAGATTGGACAAAAGTGAGATTTATAACTCTGATTATCTAAACAAAATTAAACTTTAGATCATCTTCAGCGATGAGAAGAAGTGATGCCTTGACGTACCAGACGGTTATCTGCATTACTGGAGAGATTTACGAAAAGAACCAAAGTATTTTTCAAAGCGCAATTTTGGTGGAGGATCCCTGATGTGCTGGGGTGCTTTTTGTGCAGATGGGTCCCTTGAGATTTGCTAAAAATAACAAAAAATTTAGTTGCATTTTTTACGGAAACGCCCATTTTGCGCTACCGTCTAAACTTTTGGAACGCACTGTAGTATTCTAACTATAGTCCAGTACAATAGCTAGATCTTAGACTGTAGATGTTGCCTGCATGCAGCTAACTAGTACTATGAAGCTATAGATAACTATAGACAGTTAGGCAAGTGGTCGCGTCGGTTCCCTTAAAAAATTACGTTCCTATTTGCATTTAATTTGCGTCACTTTTTCGTCTCATTCTCTCCCCTCAAATTTCTTTTTTCGTTTTTCAGCAGAACTTTGTCTTCTCACCCTTTTGAATCTGGAATCTTTCCAGGATTTGATGTTTCTCTTCACTGTTTTTTAATAGATATCATTGCCTTTTCTTTCTTAAACGTAAAATTATAAATCCTTTAAACTACTCTTAAGGTTCGAAATTCTGTTTAGATAGTTGGAACATTATGGAAAATATTTGCTAATACCGTAAAGGGTTTACGGAATTTGTGTTGCCATCAACGAAGAGTCAATCCTCTACTTGTGTCACGAGCGTTAATCTTTTTCTTCTTCCTTCCTTCCTTCCTTCCTTTCTTTCTTTCTTTCTTTCTTTCTTTCTTTCTTTCTTTCTTTCTTTCTCTTCTTTCTCTTCCCCCTTGTATTTCCTCTTTCTCTTGGCAAATCAAGGTACCGGATGGCTCAGTGGTTAGAGTAGGAAACAAGGAAAGAAAGCAAAAGGTCGAGGATTGAATCCACTCTCCGAAAATAATTAAAGCACTAGTACCTTTCACTGCCAGCTACAGTAAAATAGCTTAGCGAAATAGCCTAGCTTTCCCTAAACTCACTTTTTCAATCGATAAATCTCTGCATATGACTCGGGCACATTGTGAAAGAGTCGAATGAATTTGCTGCCGCTTGTCGCCACCATTTGTCCGTTTGGAGAGATTTGCACGCGCGTGATCGGCTCTTCTTGAACGTCAAGCACTGAAAAAAAGAGGAATTGGTTTTTCTAAAAATTGATGCTTTTTCTAAAAATTGATAAAAAGATGCTTAACACCATTTCTACAGCACTCACTTGGCTCAAAATCTTCATCGATAGTGGAAATTTTCAGCGTTTTGCCAATGGCGATTGCGAAAGATCCACCTAAAATTTGTATTTAAAGCCATAATTTTGATTTCCAAACCAGATGGAGACATATCGAGATGGACTTTCTTCGCGCCTTTCAATTCAAGCCATTCACCACTAAATGGAGATGAGATTAGAAGGGAAAGGCTGTTGGATGTGGATAAATGCGATAAGCTATAGACCATTAAACGCAGAATTTCACGCTTATTTCGAATCTGTTTTCCGTTTTTGACAAATATTGGGTTGATGCATAATTTATCCGGACTTCTTTGGTGCTTGTATCTTTTTTGTTTTGAAAGCTTTTTGTCTATTTCTTTTTTTTAAATATTCGTTATTCTTTAGTGAACAAAATGTGTGTCGACAATCATATCCAGGAAGAGGACGGCAAACTGTTGCTTAGACTTCGAAAACGGTGGTCTGCCAATTTCGTTTGGCGACAAGAAAAAGGAACTTTTTGAGTCGAGGAACCAAATCCGGGCCAACAGCCCTTTCCGAAGCGGTAGAGCAAGAGTATATGGCGAAGAATGGATAATGATTGTCGACACACATTTTGTTCACTAAAGAATAACGAATATTTAAAAAAAGAAATAGACAAAAAGCTTTCAAAACAAAAAAGATACAAGCACGCAAAAAGAAGTCCGGATAATTATGCATCAACCTAATAGTTACCTATCAAAAGTTATCGGTGTTTAAAGTTTTAAGGAGAAAAGCTAATGTTATTATGCAAATTATCTACAGTAATACCCTAGAATAATACTTTACAGTGATACTCTACAGTACAACCTACAGTAATACCTCCAGCAATAGCTCATTAGACCAATTTTTCTTACTAACCTGGCGATTTCTTTTGCATCTTCGCCTTGCGCGAATCGAATATCCGTATTGTAGACCTAAAAGATCGATTTTTATTTATTCTATTCTTTTACAACTAAACTATACACGCCCCCACCACCAAAAAAAAAGATGGAGAATTAAAATTTAAGAAGTAAAAAAAATGTTAATCTATAGTTACCGTAAATCGTAAATATCTTTAGCTACCGTAATCTAAAGAGAATATATTGTCATCTTTTTATCCTCAGACTATTCTCAAACTACCGTACCCGCCAATATCCGTCTTTCGACACAGTAACAGCTCGAGAGGAATCCTGATTGAAAGAAACCGAGTGAATGCCCGAACGAGCACCCTAAACTCATCGAAATCAATTTTATTTCCTTTTTAACCACCTGCAGATTAAAGGCTTTCTTCGCCGAGACGAACTCACCTTTGGCGGTGAATTTGATCTAAATTCATAGCTAGAGATTAAATTGAGTTGAAATATTAGAGTTCGATAGGCCTAGCTTAAAAACTTCCAATTAGTCTCAATTGCTATCCGCTAGGAAATATCTAAAAATATTCACTACCAGCTGATTTACTCCACTGATAGTAAATATTTTTTACGTTTCCCGCGCAATCTAAGCCCCGCCCCTTTTTGTCAATGGCTGCATACAGACGGACAGACGAAAAAACGGAAAAACGGACCGACAGGTAGACGGACAAAAGGACAAACGGACAGACGGACGGACGGACGGACGGACAGACGGACAGACAGACAGGCAGACAAACAGACAAACAGACAAACAGACAGACAGACAGAGAGACGGCAGACAGACAGAGAGACGGGCAGACAGACAGAGAGACGGCAGACAGACAGAGAGACGGGCAGACAGACAGAGAGACGGCAGACAGACAGAGAGACGGGCAGACAGACAGACGGACAGACGGACGTCTCTTCCGCTTTATATATAGTAGTTACTAACTTCGTAAACGAAAGCCTCAGGGCTGAAGCCGGTGATCGCCAAAAAGCGACCATCCCTCGACAAAACAGCATCGTAAAAACCGCCAATTTTCGGCTCCAATCGCTCCAAAATATCACCTACAATTTGACAATTGCTTTTTGTTTAGTTGTGTAGTTTTTCAGCGGAAAATCTACTATATAAAGTGCAGTGTCTGTCTGTCTCATCTGCACTGGCTTTTCAGCCATCTTCAGGCCAAAAACCTGAAATTTTTGTTTAAAAGTTCTTCTAATATAGTTGATAATATTAAATTTCAAATAAAGATTGTATAATATAATTAAGGTAAAGATAGTGTTATAGATTTAAAATGAATGAAATAAAATAAAAGCGAAAAATTTCGAGGTCGAGGGTGGTACCGGGGATCGAACCCGGATCGTGCGTGCCGCAACGAAACGCCCTCTCACTGCGCCACGACGACGTCAAGAGGGGGGCCAGAAAAACCCGTTTTTACTCTGTTAGGCGAGTTTTTCAGCTGGTGAATAAGAATTTTGAATGCTCACCCCTCAAACTGTAGATCACAACTTTTCCCTCAGCGCACGCCGAGAAAACGAATTTCCCTGAAATCGAGGAATTTGAGGGAATTTTGGATTAGAAGTTGAAAGTTTAAAGGTTCAAAATTGATGCCTTTACTCCTAAACTTCCCTTTTTTCAATCAATTGAACAAACCGTTTGACGCAAAACCGATTTGCGTGATGTTTTGCGTGTGCACTTTTGGGAAATCAACCGACTCCACTTTCGTCAATCGCTTTGTGCCCGTGTCCTCGCGTTTTTGAATCGTGTACACACCAAGCTTCAATAAAAAGAAATGAAAAACAAGAATTACAGCTTTTCTCAGCTTTTAGATCAATTCTAACAAGAGTCGATAAGCTTTAAGCCTTAGAAATCACTTAAAATGAAACCAAGAAACCTCTTGAACTTTTGCGCTTTTACTAATCGTTTTGTGAGCTTTTAAGAGCTTTTAAGATTTATCTGCGCAAGGTCTTTTTGAGCTTTTAGACTTTTAAGAGATTAAAAATCTTTCATTCAAGCCAAAGCAAAATCTAATTTACCTGTGATATCACAGATATGATATCACAGGTATCACAATTTACCTGTGATATGATATCACATGAGGTAAAAAGTCTTTACCTGAGCCTGAGCCTAAGCCTGAGCCTTTACCTAAGCCTTTACCTGAGCCTTTACCTGATCCTGAGCCTGAGCTAGCAACAATTAACTTAGCATTGACTATTCAAACCTTTAAAATCTAGATACTCTTAAGGTTTTGATAAGAAAACGATTCTTAATCGATTTCAAATCAATGAGAAGTCAAAATTTTCTCAATTCACCTTGTTTTCCCGTTTCATCGCTACCAGTAAAGACTTTGAGTCTGGCCCAAAGCTTACTAGAGTCATTCGATCGAATTCCAACGGGTTTCTCGAGAATTTGTGTTCTTTTTCTTCAAAATCCTAAAGGAATTTCTATTATTAGTGTTTATTATTGTTTATTATTATTATTATTTATTATGTGTTTAGGTTCAAATTTAGTCAAAAATTACTTTTATATGCCATAAAATCATTGTCCCGTCATCAGAAATCGAAACAAACTTTTTCCCATCTGATGCAAAGTCCACATCAAGGACAGGTCCTGAAAATTTGAGAGAATTAGGAAAAGGAATAAAACACTAATAAACGATAATAAACACTTCCTTTATTAGGAAAAAAAACCCTAGATATCAAGTGCTTAATCTAAGCCAGCTTTTGAACGGTTAGACTGTCCTGCGACTCTACAATGTCATAGGAATTTTTGATAACCTTGGCCTAGACCCAGTCCTATTTACGTCAGTCCTATTTACGTCCTTGTTACGTCTTGTTACGATTCTTGGCCACAGTTATAGCGCCAACTTTAGATTGATCAAAATTAAGTCATTCATTCTTATTTTTCTGCAGATAATTCTTTTGTATTTCTTTTGCCAATTATCTAATCGATTAAACCTTTCAACTTTTTCTAGATAACCATCCAAAGTTGAAAGCTGAGTTCAGAGCATTTATGCGAATATTTACTCGAGCTTTAAGAGCGATCTCTTGTGAGAAATCGTTTTGAAATTGATTTTATGATGTTTATGAATGAAATTTTCCATTTTCTACGCAATTTAAGTGGAGATTCTTGAAAAATTTCATTTAAAATCGTTTGTTTTTTGTCGTTTTCTCGAATGATTTATGGGGATTTAGAGGAGTCAAAAAAGAATAAGAAAATCGCATTTTTTTTAACGTTTATTTATTTTCAATTTGATAAGTATTGATTTGATTGATAAAATTGACAAAATTGATCAATAATTGATTGAAAATCATTTAAAAATCTACACTTTTAGCTCTAAAAATGAAACTTTAAATTCAATCGATTCGTCGACCTCGAAAACCCAACAAATTTACAGCTTAACCGTAAATCTTTATCTCTTTTTTTGTTTTTGTCTTTTGTACAAGCTTTTCATCGCGTTAAATCATTGTTTAAATGAAAAAAAATAGAAGAGAAAAGTCATCATCTAACTCTGAGACTTTCGTTTCTTGATTCTGTTGATTCTGTCGCTTCTGTGCTTCGATCAAGCTCGATTTTAACTACTTAAAGTACCTGCTTTTAAAGCTACTCAAGAGTTTTTACATTAATATTGTCTCTAAAAGTAAGTTATTAGCCAAAGAATAAAGCCTACTCATTGAAAAGTCGCCTTTAATGGACTAGAAATCAAACTAGAAACTTTGCTCAGCTTTTCTCACCTACTAGACATGGGAAAATTCGAATCCGAACCTAAATCCATCATCGTTTTCCAATACTTAGCCAATTGCTTAGCTTTTTCTTTGACTCTGTCTTTAAGATGATGCCGATTTCTATTTGTAGACAAAACTACAGAGTAATCGGTGAAGATACGGCTGAGAAAATGAAGAGAAATGATTGCTGGGAATTTGCTGGGATTGCTGGGAATTTGCTGGGAATTTGCTGGGATTGCTGGGAATTTGCTGGGAATTTGCTGGGAATTTGCTGGGAATTTGCTGGGATTGCTGGGAATTTGCTGGGATTGCTGAGAATTTGCTGAGAATTTGCTGGGATTGCTGGGAATTTGCTGGGATTGCTGGGAATTTGCTGGGATTGCTGGGAATTTGCTGGGATTGCTGGGAATTTGCTGGGATTGCTGAGAATTTGCTGGGATTGCTGAGAATTTGCTGAGAATTTGCTGGGATTGCTGGGAATTTGCTGGGAATTTGCTGGGAATTTGCTGGGATTGCTGGGAATTTGCTGGGATTGCTGAGAATTTGCTGAGAATTTGCTGGGATTGCTGGGAATTTGCTGGGATTGCTGGGAATTTGCTGAGAATTTGCTGGGATTGCTGGGAATTTGCTGGGATTGCTGGGAATTTGCTGGGATTGCTGGGAATTTGCTGGGATTGCTGGGAATTTGCTGGGATTGCTGAGAATTTGCTGGGATTGCTGAGAATTTACTGAGAATTTGCTGGGATTGCTGGGAATTTGCTGGGATTGCTGGGAATTTGCTGGGATTGCTGGGAATTTGCTGGGATTGCTGGGAATTTGCTGGGATTGCTGAGGAATTTGCTGGGATTGCTGAGAATTTGCTGAGAACTTGCTGGGATTGCTGGGAATTTGCTGGGAATTTGCTGGGAATTTGCTGGGATTGCTGGGAATTTGCTGGGATTGCTGAGAATTTGCTGAGGAATTTGCTGGGATTGCTGGGAATTTGCTGGGAATTTGCTGGGAATTTGCTGGGATTGCTGGGAATTTGCTGGGATTGCTGGGAATTTGCTGGGATTGCTGGGAATTTGCTGGGATTGCTGGGAATTTGCTGGGATTGCTGGGAATTTGCTGGGATTGCTGGGAATTTGCTGGGATTGCTGAGAATTTGCTGGGATTGCTGAGAATTTGCTGAGAATTTGCTGGGATTGCTGGGAATTTGCTGGGAATTTGCTGGGAATTTGCTGGGAATTTGCTGGGATTGCTGGGAATTTGCTGGGATTGCTGAGAATTTGCTGAGAATTTGCTGGGATTGCTGGGAATTTGCTGGGATTGCTGGGAATTTGCTGAGAATTTGCTGGGATTGCTGGGAATTTGCTGGGATTGCTGGGAATTTGCTGGGATTGCTGGGAATTTGCTGGGATTGCTGGGAATTTGCTGGGATTGCTGAGAATTTGCTGGGATTGCTGAGAATTTGCTGAGAATTTGCTGGGATTGCTGGGAATTTGCTGGGAATTTGCTGGGAATTTGCTGGGATTGCTGGGAATTTGCTGGGATTGCTGGGAATTTGCTGGGAATTTGCTGGGAATTTGCTGGGATTGCTGGGAATTTGCTGGGATTGCTGGGATTGCTGGGATTGCTGGGATTGCTGGGAATTTGCTGGGATTGCTGGGAATTTGCTGGGAATTTGCTGGGAATTTGCTGGGAATTTGCTGGGAATTTGCTGGGATTGCTGGGAATTTGCTGGGAATTTGCTGGGAATTTGCTGGGATTGCTGGGAATTTGCTGGGATTGCTGGGAATTTGCTGGGATTGCTGGGATTGCTGGGAATTTGCTGGGATTGCTGGGAATTTGCTGGGAATTTGCTGGGATTGCTGGGAATTTGCTGGGAATTTGCTGGGAATTTGCTGGGATTGCTGGGAATTTGCTGGGATTGCTGGGAATTTGCTGGGATTGCTGGGATTGCTGGGAATTTGCTGGGATTGCTGGGAATTTGCTGGGAATTTGCTGGGATTGCTGGGAATTTGCTGGGAATTTGCTGGGAATTTGCTGGGATTGCTGGGAATTTGCTGGGATTGCTGGGAATTTGCTGGGATTGCTGGGATTGCTGGGATTGCTGGGATTGCTGGGAATTTGCTGGGATTGCTGGGAATTTGCTGGGATTGCTGGGAATTTGCTGGGAATTTGCTGGGAATTTGCTGGGAATTTGCTGGGAATTTGCTGGGAATTTGCTGGGAATTTGCTGGGAATTTGCTGGGAATTTGCTGGGGAATTTGCTGGGAATTTGCTGGGAATTTGCTGGGAATTTGCTGGGAATTTGCTGGAATTTGCTGGGAATTTGCTGGGATTGCTGGGAATTTGCTGGGATTGCTGGGAATTTGCTGGGAATTTGCTGGGAATTTGCTGGGATTGCTGGGAATTTGCTGGGAATTTGCTGGGAATTTGCTGGGAATTTGCTGGGAATTTGCTGGGAATTTGCTGGGAATTTGCTGGGAATTTGCTGGGATTGCTGGGAATTTGCTGGGATTGCTGGGAATTTGCTGGGAATTTGCTGGGATTGCTGGGAATTTGCTGGGAATTTGCTGGGAATTTGCTGGGATTGCTGGGAATTTGCTGGGATTGCTGGGAATTTGCTGGGATTGCTGGGAATTTGCTGGGATTGCTGGGAATTTGCTGGGATTGCTGAGAATTTGCTGAGAATTTGCTGGGATTGCTGGGAATTTGCTGGGAATTTGCTGGGAATTTGCTGGGATTGCTGGGATTGCTGGGATTGCTGGGATTGTTGGGATTGCTGGGAATTTGCTGGATAGGTGTGGGAATTTTGTTGTATCACTTGCCATATCACTTCCCTTTCACTTATCACTTACCCGTGTGCCCCTTTAACGTCGTCAGACTCCACGAATGAGCATACAAACCGGCTTCTTTCTGGAAATGGCTTTTAATTGAGCTGTTTTCTGCCATTTTTCGAAAAGACACGCTTCAAACAGCTACCGTAACTGGTTAAGTAACTGGTTAAGTAACTCGTTAAGTAACTGGTTAAGTAACTCGTTAATCGACATACATAGCCAAATAGTCAAAGTAAAGTAGCTATTTCAAGCGTTTATTTTAAAAAGGACAATTCATTTATAATTTCTTTACCTTATTTCCCCAGGTTTTTTCTTTTTTCGATTTAATTTGTTGTGGTAAATTTGGCTTCACTTCTTTTACCGTTTCACTAAAATCACTAAAAGTTTTTCCGTTAAAATACAAATAGAAATCATCATAAAATCTTAAAATCATTAATTCTTTAATTCTTTAATTCTTTAAATCTTTAATTCTTTAATTCCTTAATTCTTCAATTCTTTAATCTTTAATTCTTTAAATCATTAATTCTTTAATTCTTTAATCTTTAATTCTTTAAATCATTAATTCTTTAATTCTTTAATCTTTAATCTTTAAATCTTTAATCTTTAAATCATTAATTCTTTAATCTTAAATCTTAAATCTTAAATTCTTTAAACAAATTCTAATAAAATTCACCAACTTTTTCTCGTTTTTTATCGATTTCCCAGTTTTTCTTGTTAAAAATAGAATTGAAACCTGAAAATTGGAAATTTGAAATTTTCTTTTTCGAAAAGAAACCATGAAAATCGTTATGGCCACGAAAATTCCCAATAAAAAGTTGGGATCCATTTTTAGTTGCGAATTTGAATTAAATAACTAATTATTCAGTTTCAGTTGGATAATTTATTAATAAGTTTTATGAGTTTCAAAGATTTCTTCATCAAATTACCCAATTGAAATCGTGGGCACTTTTTCGCGCCTCCGAAAGGAAGAACTACGGTAATTGGAGCGAGAAATCACAAAAAATAAAACACGAAAGACTTCAAATTTCTTTCAAATTCTTTCAATTTTTACATTAACTTTCTTCTTTTTAATGTAATTTTCTGATTTTCTCTTTTTATTCAACTTTTAGATGAAATTATGGCTTAGGGATCTTCAAACAAGATACAAGCCTTGAAGGGAAAGGCTGTAGGCTTTGGCTTTAAAGGCTTTAGGATGTGGACAAAAGCTATAAACCGTTAAACGCACAATTTCACGCTGATTCCGAATCTGTTTTCAAAAAAGCTTCAAACCGGGAAAACGATTGCCCAATTGCGGAAAGATTGGCTTGAGCTGGAAGCTAGGTGGGTTTACATTAGCCAGAGCTGGCATAAACCCAGTTTGATCCATGATCTGAGTCAGGTCTAGCTCTGGATTGGTTCTTGATCTTGATCTTTATCTAGATCTGATCCTTAGACCAGATCTAGACCAAGGTATGGACATGATCTGGGGCTGGACTTGGCCATAAGCCAGACGCAAGCCTAACAGGCACTCAAGTCCAGGACAAATCCTGGTTTTGGCTCGGTCTAGACCGAGACTATGGCTTTGCGCAGGATTAATTGATTAGCTGCTCAAGAGCAATTGATCAGCTGCTCAAGCAATTGATCAGCTGCTCAAGAGCAATTGATCAGCTGCTCAAGATCAATTGATCAGCTGAACAATCGATCAATTGATCAAATGGTTAGCATTAATTGATCAGCTGATTCTAGATCGCAAATCCTGCAAGAAATGCTGAAAAATGTCAAGAAAATCGAGAAATCTCAAGCCTCAAACATCCAAGGATTCTCGGATTACGTAAAAGTAAGTTTTTTGCTTTAATTCTTGAAATGTTTTTCATTTCAGAGTCAAAACAAGCACAAGCACACTTCAATAACACCACTTTTTTTTTCCCCCCCTGCACATTTTTTTTCCCCCAAAAACCCCCCTCTCCCCCCTTTTTCCCTTTTAAACTAAAATTAAAAGCTCTGTTGAACAAGTGAAAGAAGCGGCTTTGAATTGAAAGAGAATTGAATTGAAAGAGAAAAGTGGATAAAGCTTTAGAGATCTTTGATTTTTCATTAATTGATCTATAATATACATATTATTTATAAAAATAGATGAAAAGTGCGATGAATGAGAAGATTGATTGATTGATTGATTTTTTTGACGAACTCTTGTCCATTTTATCGAACTCGATCGGATTCGGGGTTGGATCGATCAACGTTTTATCGTAGTTTGGTGGATTTTGATTAAGGAAAGCAGTGATCATTTGAACTGAGGCACCGCCGCGATCATTTGGGACAAAGTGACCGGCACCCTGAAAGAAATTCAATGAAATAGGTATCATTTGGCCAGTACAATACTTGAGTTGAAAAAAATTTGTCAAAAATTGAAAAGATGCCCCGAACCGGGATCGAACCGGTGACCTTTAGATAGCTGAGTCGCACTTCAGTCTAACGCTCTCCCAACTGAGCTATCGAGGCAGCTGGCCGGGGGGCTCAAGGGAAAGCAAAGTACCAATCGAAGGGGAAAAAATAAATTGAGCAAATTGTTCCCTATGCTCGATAGGCGTTTGTATCTCAGCGATGTAGCGAAATCGTTTGGCCAGTTTGGACCATTCCCTTGTGAGTTACGGTGCAATACAATACAATACTGTACAATAAGTACATTTCAGCACTGTGCAGTAAGTACAGTAAGTACAGTGCTGAACTTAAGTACGATACAATACTGTGTATCTAGAGTATGGTAAAGTACTATTGTACAGTAAAGTACAGTACTATTGCAAAGTAAAGTACAGTGCTATTGTACAGCAAAGTACAGTACTATTGCAAAGCAAACTACCGTACTATTGTACATCGATTTTAAACCCACTTTCACCGTCAACACGTCGATGATGATCTGATTTTTCGCGTATCTTTGTTGCCAACCGGCCGTCAATCCACGGAAAAACCAACGCGTTCGATCGCTTTCCTAGAGTGGAATTCAAATAAAATAAAAAATTGAATCAACATCATCGAAACACACCACAAAATCGTGCTCTTTCGCTAGCCGTTTCACGAATTTCTGATCACCCAAATAGTTGCACACCGTATCAACATCACCATTGTAGATCAAGATTTTTAACGGTTTCTAGAAATTCTTCACTTATCTAAGCTCCTTTCGATGTTTCTAAATTTCTTGATTTCTTGATTTCTTGCTTACATACAATACAGTTTTCTTAAAAAAAACCCCCCCCCCCCCCTCCCCCCCCCCTCTTTTTTTTATTTTCCTAAAAAAAAAAAAAAGAGGGAAAACCAAAAACCTTAAAAATTTTTTTTATCAACAAACCTTCCAATTCTCGAAAATTCGATCGAAAAACGGGCTCATTGTTGGGTAATTGTGAGTGTACTTTTGATCGATTGTATTAATGAGATTACTGAAAAGAGGGAATTGAAGCTACTGAAAAGGGGGAATTGAAGCTACTGAAAAGGGGGAATTGAAGCTACTGAGAAGGGGGAATTGAAGCTACTGAGAAGGGGGAATTGAAGCTACTGAAAAGAGGGAATTGAAGCTACTGAAAAGAGGGAATTGAAGCTACTGAGAAGAGGGAATTGAAGCTACTGAGAAGAGGGTTTTCTAAAAGAATCATTTAAAGAAAAGCTATCGTAATCCGTAATTCGTAATCTTTATTTTTGAATTGCTTTCAAATCACAAACCTGCACTCATTCCACTCTCTCAATTCCCCGCTTTTCACTCGCCAATCGTCAGCGATTTGAAAAACCTAAATAAACTTGTTAGAAAACTTTAAAATTCACCTAGTTTACATAGGAATATTTGTGATTAATGAAATTAAATGGCAATGTTTTACAAAGTTCTCAAGTAAGCGCAAAAGTGACCGGATTCGAGTCCCAATAGCGCAAAATCAATTCGAAACCAATAGATATTCAAAATCTTTTTCTCAAACTTTAAAAAATACACTCGTTTGCAACTTTTTCAAGCTTTAACCATTCCTACTATTATACAAAAAAAAAAAAAAAAAAAAAAAAAAAAAAAAAAATATAAAAAAAAAAAATAAAAAAAAAAAATAACCATTTAGCTTAAGCTTAGAGTTTTCGAATCGAAACTCACCGTTTGCACCTCAGCTTTGTTCATGTAGTTGGATAAAGAGCCATATTGCCAACACGGATACCCAAATTCATTATCGGATGAGTCAACGTTTAAAAGTTTCTGTAATAAGTCTGTAGCAATTCGAATTCATAGAATTTGTGCTTAAGCGTAAGACCAACCGCCGTGTTCACGCTCGGATCCTGATTGGGTTTATTGTAGAATAGGCGCGTTTTCTCGAAGCCTTTCTTGAACTTTTTCATTGCCGAATGCTTGCTTCGAGTTTTCTGGAAGCTTGATCCTGATGAGATCTTGATGCTTTACTGGTACAACATGTAGAAAACAATTTGTAGCTTTAGAATTTATAGAATTTGTGCCCACGCTACCGTAATCCCACCCTTGTGGGCTTTGTTCGTACATTGACTAGACTCGTTATCGTTATCCGGTTACAGTATTCTAAAAGCGTGCCCCGATTACGCCTGCTTTTGTTACTGTAACAGTTAGAGCATGTCCCGTACTGTAACGTACTGTAACTGCTAAAGCGTACACCGGCTACCGTAGTGCAAGAGGACTACATTAGCACAAACTAACAATGAGATAGATAATGCAACGATACAAAGGTTACCCCTACGATCTAAAGAAGTTTAGGTTACGGTAAAGGGTCTAAAGAGATCTAGGTTACGGTAGAGGGTCTGAAGTGATCTAGGTTACGGTAGGGGGTCTGAAGAGATCTAGGTTACGGTAGGGGGTCTGAAGAGATCTAGGTTACGGTAGAGGGTCTGAAGAGATCTAGGTTACGGTAGGGGGTCTGAAGAGATCTAGGTTACGGTAGGGGGTCAAAAGATATCCAGGTTACGGTAGGGGTCTAAAAGGTCTAGGTTACGGTAGGGGATCTAAAGAGATCTAGGTTACGGTAGTGGGTCTAAAGAGATCCAGGTTACGGTGGTGAATCTAAAAACGTTCAGGTTTAGTGGACCTAAGAAGACCCAAGTTACGGTAGTGGGACACATTTTAGAGCAAATGTACAACCTTTTCTTTTGCCGTGTCCCCTTGATAACCCCAGCATTCCTCGTAGAACATGTACGCATCGATGCCCCTAAAAAAAAGACGCAATTTTAATCCTTGCTCTTTCGATCGTACTTTATGCTGAAAATCTGTAAACACACTCCTTCTGGTGCACTGGATTCTTTGTAAATTTAAGCCCAAAGGTATGCGACCACTGTGCGTTCTTTCCGTGTTGTTCTTAGGAAAAAACGGCGTCTGGCACACTGCCCCGGATAAAGGCGACCGGAAAGCCGTCTTGCCCGGTTTAATTACCCAACGTTAATCTTTAAAAGTTCCCTTCAACAACAACGCTTTGGTTGTGAAAGGGTACACCAGAAGGGGTGCGTTTAGAGCACAAAGTACGCGTAGCAGTAGCCGTTAGAAAAGTGATTCAAGTCTGCCGCAAAGACTTACTCTGCTTCAGGTAAATCCCATAGCTTCATCACCTAAAATCTGATCGTTAAATGCAAAATTAGTTAAAAACCATATCCCCGCACTTGCTTCCATTGCTGTGCCACTCTAAATTATCGTCGGTTTCCAAAAATTGATGAAACTCGTAAGTATCCATGTCGTATTTTCGTCCGACTCCATTTATGTAACAGATTTCTTTCATTTCTTCCCAGTCACTGGAAATTACTACTGTAGCTTACGTACTGGGCTACTGTAGCTTTGCCCAGGTCTTAGGAAATGGTTTACTTTGAGGAAAGCCACCAAATGGAATACGGTAGCTTGGTGGTTTCTTTGGGAAACATTGTGCGTTCTTTTCCTGTCGCTCGTAAGAAAAAGCGGCGTCTGGCACATTGCCCCCGGGTAAGGGACCGGAAAGCCGTCTCGCCTGGTTTAATTACCCAAATTTTGGGTTTTCAATGTTCACTTAATTTCGGTAAAGAAAAATTGTGCCTTCTTTGTGTGTTCTTTTCCTGTCGCTTGTAGGAAAAAGCGGCGCCTGGCACACTGGCCCCGGCTAAGGGACCGGAAAGCCGTCTCGCCCGGTTTAATTACCCAATTTTCGATAACGTCGATCTTTATCTTTATTTTTCCTATCTAACCTCAACGATATTTTCCCATGATATGCATCCCATAACACTAACGCATTGTTGAGATCGTTCACATCAAGATAGCCATTGCCGATAGCGAAGCCCTAGGTAACAAGAAAATTGAGTTCTCATTTCTGGCTACTAGGGGGGTGGGTTGGGAAATAACTTTCTTTTTTTTATTTATTTTTTTTATTATTTTATTATTTTTTTTTTTTTTTTTCTTTCTTTTTTTTTTTTTTTTTTTTTTTTTTTTTTTTTATTTTTTTTTTTTTTTTTTTTTTTTTTTTTTTTTATTTTTTTTATATTTTTTTATTAATATATATTTTTTTTTAAATTTTAAAAAAAAAAAAAAAAAAAAAAAAAAATAAATATAAATAAATATTTAAATTTAATAAATACTTTTACATCTTTTTTTCTTTTTTTTTTTTTTTTTTTTATATTATTTTTTTATTATTATTTTTTTTTTTTTTTTTAATAAAATAAAAAAAAAAAAAAAAAATTTTAAAAAAAAAAAAAAGGATTTTGGTAGAAAAAAAAAAAAAAAAAAAAAAAGGGGGGGGTATTTTTTTTTCCACAATATTCCATTATTTTTTAAAATATTTAAAAAATTTTTTTTTTTTTTCCATAAATTCCCCCTTTTTTTTTTTTTTTCCCAAAAAAACGGAATTTTTTTTCACCACCTAATGATCTAATCTTGAACTTACCAGTCCTACTCAAATCCTACCTTGAAATTCTCGTTCGGAAATTCTCCCTTGACAATGCTTTGAACGAGCAAATCGGCTAACATTGGTTGCCAAACGCCCGAATAAGAACTACCAGTCAAATAAAAATCCCTCGTCGCGTACTCTGGAGCCACTCTGAAACAATAGGAAATACTAAACTGCACCCTAGCTATAGTAATCCTTTTAGAATAGCCTAGATGGTTACTGTAGCCGAATTTTCCGCAAAATTTACCACTTACTATTTGCTCACCTAGTGAAAAAATCGAAAAGCGCTAGATAGTTTTGCTCGGCGGTTTGATCGTCGGTGGCAAAACTGAAATTCAAAGCCATGATCTTTCTGGTCAAGTTTTCAATCTTACCTGAAGTCGTGATTTTCCGTATCATAGGAGAAACCGACGCCGATCGGTGAATCCAAGTACAAAAAATTGGCTTTCTAAAGTTTGGAATAAGATGCAAATGCAAATTTATCAAGTATTTGAGGTATTGGAGGTATTGGAGGAGAGGTCCGAATCAGGATCAATGCTCATTAAAACCGAAACGGCCCCGAATCAGCCTTGAATGAGTCTTGAATCAGCCTTGAGTCAGCCTTGAATCAGCCTTGAGTCAGCCTTGAGTCAGCTAAGAATCAGCCCAGAATCAACCCCGAATCAACCCCGAATCAATCCCGAATGAAAATGTTCTTCGAAAAGGCTCACATTCATCAATATAATCTTTTTGAGAGCGATTTTATAAATTTCAGACTACATTATTGATATCCACTATATACAAAAAATAAAACGTCCGTCTGTCACGCCTACGCGATAATACAAATCGCGTTAACGTAAAATTATAATGAAGTGAGCTAGAAAGCTGAAAATTTGTACTTTTGGGTTTTCGGCGGCGAGGAATCCGACTCTCCAATCAAATTTGTGCTACGTGCCCTCAGAGCTTTAGGTAGGATAAACAATCAAATGATCCAGGGAAAAAGAAAAGAGATGAACGGTTTGAAATTTTCGAATAGGACGTATCCTACCTCAGGATGGTTTGCCAGATGGAGAGCGATTGTGCGGGGGAACAAAGAACACGCAAAAGAGAATGCTGTCAGTTTTCTCTTTGCGTTCCCATATGATTTGAAGGGAAAATTTGTACCCTAGGATTTTCGAGGACGGTGAATCGATTGGAGATATTCATTTTTGAATCCACCAATTCGAACTCGGGTTTAATTGTTGTTAAACTAAGCTGAGATACTCAAAGAGTACTGAGCTGTGAAGGGGATTTCATCTTTTAATACCTGATAAATGATTGATAAATTGATTTCTTTTAATCATTTCTTTGATCTTCTTGATCATTGCTTTGATTTTTTGATTATTTCTTTGATCTTTGATCATTTCTTTGATCTTTTTGATCATTTCGTTGACCTTTAATCATTTCTTTGTTCTCTTTAATCATTTCTTTGATCTTTAATCATTACTTCATCAAAAAAACTTATCTTATACCCACCATTGATTTGGTTTTAGTGAGAATCGGCTCTAATTCAGGCTTACCATAACATTTTTAGCTTACCGCATTCCAGGCATAAACATTCTCATATAGAGAATCGCCTCCATAGTTTACGTAGAATGGCCCCATCTCTTCAAAAGCCTCACCAACTCCAGAACAACCGGGTCCTAAAGAAAAGCTATAAGCTAAAAGAGAAGCTATTTTCAGAAATTCGTTTCAAATTCGAATTCAGCATAAGTTTTTGTATTGGGTTGATGCATAATTATCCGGACTTCTTTTATAAATGATTTTATTTAACAAAAAATAACATAAATAGTTAGAAAAATATGTTTAATTGATTTTCTGGAGCATATTCACCGCCTACATCAATAACTGATTGCCATTTGCTTGGAAGACGATCGATTCCACGAGCGAAGAATAAACGATCTTTGGAGGCAATCCACGCTTTAACATCGTCTATCAAGTCATCCAAATCGTTGTAGATCTTATTTGTTTGCCAATTTTTGAGCGATCGATTGACGTGGTAGTCCGTTGGGGCTTCAGTAGGAGAATATGGCGGGTAACGATCGAACCATTCATAAACTGTTGCACGTCCAATTCTTCCTTGACCAAAAAGTTCTTTGAGATCGCGAAACGACTCTGCGGCAGACCATCCCTTTTCGAAGTGGTAGAGCATGATATGGCGAAGATGGATATGATTGTCGACACGCATTTTGTTCACTAAAGAATAACGAATATTTAAAAAAAAGAAATAGACAAAAAGCTTTCAAAACAAAAAAGATACAAGCACGCAAAAAGAAGTCCGGATAATTATGCATCAACCCAATGTTTATTAGAGTTTCTAAGGTCTGATATAATAGATTTTAGAAAAATGACAGACCACCGGCATAATAAATGGCTAAGGGATCCTTTTCTGGCTCGCTTTTCGATTCGATGAACCTAAAAAGATGGCTTACAAGGAGTCGGTTAAAGCTAGAACCAGCTGAGCAATTGATCCTGACCATTTGATCAATTGATCAATTGTTCAGCTGATCAATTAATCCTGCACAAAGCCATAGTCTCGGCCTAGACTTGAGCCAAAACCAGGATTTGTCCTGGACTTGAGTGCATGTTAGGTCTGAGTCTGGTTTATGACCAAGTCCAAGCCTAGATCACGTCCATACCTTGGTCTAGATCTGGTCTGATGCTCAATATGCAAATCAAATCTTGTAAAGCTTGAAAAGACGAGTTGAATGATGTAAAAACTAGGTGTTTATCATCTTTATAAACACACTAAAACGCTTACAACTTTACTTTGTTTGATTTTATCAAAGATCTTTTCATAAATCCTATTTTTCTATCGTAGATCATACTTTATTTCAAAAGCTAACTGTATAATATAATTTATGAATAGAATAGAATAGAATCAAATAAATAAACAAGTTTTTAAACAAAAACAACAACGAGAACCTTTTTGAACGTTCTTGAACGAAAAGTTGAGGCAGTTCTTGGAAAAAGTAATCAAAAATCTCTAAAAGGGATCGAACCCTTGGGTACCCGCTTTGTAAACCATTGCACTAACCACTAGACCACGGAGCCATCTCGGGCCTGCCAGCAATTTCCCTATCTATCGCCGAGTCATCTCAAGCTGGCCTTTGATGCCTTAAGACTATTTAGTCATTACTTCTAAGCCAGTTTTAATGTACTTACAAAGCTCATAAGCAGCCAATTTTTTAATCATTCGACCCGTCTTTTCAAGCTCTACAAGATTTTCTTTATAAGATCTCGAAATTCCATCAAAATTCCATCAAATTTCCTCAAAATTTCATCAAAATTCCGAAATTCAATCAATTCCTTATTAGATGCTAAAAAATGTAAAAAAAAATCCTTGAAATCACCAATAAAACATCTTCCAATTCGACGTGCCATTCTTGTTTTTTGCATCAAGATACCCGGAATAGGATTTGAATGGAGGAGTGAAGCCGAGGCCGGGAAAGCGAGAAGTCATCGAAAATTGAAGAGATTAAGCCAAACAAACAGACAAACGAAAAACTAGGATTGCTACCCCATTTCGAGGAAATCATTTTTTGCATTCTTTGGAGTCATCGTTTGCGTGAAAAAGCACCCTTTCTGATGCATTTTGATTGAAATGCCAGCTTTTTGCAGCATTTCACGCTCAATGCATAAAATAGATAGAAATTCTCGACAAATTTCACATTTAAATCCAAAATTTTACATTTTACATTCAAATTTGCTTTTGCTTTTTTGCAAGAGACTTGCTTTTTTTTGAACTAAAAACTTTACAGCATCGTCGCTTTGTCATTGATTTAGTCGAAACTTTCAAAATCCTCCGTTGTAAACAGATTAGCCCTTTGTTTATAGACTTTTTCAAATTTAAACCGCGGTCAGGGCCCAGAAGTGGCTCATTCCTTTTGCAAATTCCCTTTGCTTCCAATGCCTCTTTATCAAATTCATTTCCCGTTAGAGCCGCTAGATTATGGAACTTGCTCCCAAACGACATACGAGAAATTCAGTCGCTTTTCATATTCAAGAAACGTATCGATGCTTTAGATCTAGTGGCTCTTTGCCGTAAGTAATTGGCTTATTGATTTCGGTATGTATTGTATGATTAAGTATCACTGTGCATTTCTCTATGATTTCTTTCACTTTATCGTTTGAATAAAGTATTATTATTATTAAATGCCAGCTTTTTGCAGCATTTCACGCTCAATGCATAAAATAGATAGAAATTCTCGACAAATTTCACATTTATATCCAAAATTTTACATTTTACATTCAAATTTTACACTTTAAATCCAAAATCTCCCATTTCAAAACCAAGATTTTCACATTTTCACATCCAAAATCTCCCATTTTAAATCCAAATTTTCACATTCGAAATTCCAAATTTCGCATTCAAATCCAAAATTTTATATTTTAAATACAAAATTTCCCGTTTTAAATCCATAATTTCACATTTTAGATGCAAAATTTCACATTTAAATCCATAATTTTACACTTTTAATTCAAGATTTCACATTTAAAACCTAAATTTTCACATTTTACGTTCAAATTTTCACATTTTCATATCGAAAATCTCATTATTTCCTCAAGAAAACATACTTTCGAATTTTTCAACAACGATGTGAATCCTATAGAAAACAGTGAATAGAATAGGAAAATAAGCATAATAAAATTGATAAAAAAGAAATTTTCACTAAATGAATAAATAGCTTTACTTTGAAATTTTGCAGATATCGAAAAATCTCGAAAAAAAAAGATTTTAAGCGGTTTTACGGATTTGCGATAAGGGAACGATGTCTTGAGGGAATTTCTGATTAATTCTAATGAATATTTTCAAAAAAAAACAATCCAAAAGATGTGAATTTAAGGGAATTTAACGTTTATTAATGAATTAAAGTTTGAAAAGTTGAAGTTTCGGCTCTTCTCCGTCGTTCACGGTTTTCGGAAGAGCAACCGTGCTTTTAAAGCACATAATTTCGTCTAGAAACGATTTTGAAGTTAATTTTTATATGGTTTTAAAGAGGACATTTCAGGCTTTCGAATGAGCCAAAATAGAGGTTGATTGGACCGCAGAAACCAAAAGAAAAACATTCTCAAAATACAGGAAAAATTCCTTTGTGAAATGCGAGATGTTCTTTGTGCGCGCCCACAATCGCTCTGCATCTGGCAAACCGAGCTGGCATAAGGTACTCGCTTCTTGGTTTTTGTTTATATTTTCCCGAGCAGTTTGTCACTTTATTTTCTTCCTATTTTGTCAGATTTTGTCTTATTTTTTCTTACATTATCGTATTTTGTCTTATGTTGTCTTATTTTCTCATATTTTGTCTTATTTTTGTCTTGGATAATGAAAAGACTCGAAATTCTTTATTTCTCAAACACTTTCGTCATCATTTCACCTTTTTGAGTCTCATCTTTAATCTAGAAACTCAAAATTTATTTGAAAGAAGAAAACTGTGATTCTAATCATAAAAATCAAGGGATAATTTCGGTAGGCAAAGAAAGGAGCACTTTTTTAGTAAACCTGCGGGTTTACTAAAAAAGTGCTCCTTCCTTTCTTCTGCCGTTGTTCACGGCTTTCAGAAGAGCAACCGTGCTTTTAAAGCGCATAACTTTGTTTAGAAACGATTTTAAGGCCAATTTTTTATGTGGTTTTAAAGAGGACATTTCAGGCTTTTAAATGATATAAAATTGAAGCTATTTGGACCGCAGAAACCAACGAAAATCATTCTCAAAGTACCGAAAAAATTCCTTTTTGAAATGCGAGATGTTCTTTGTGCGCGCCCACAATCGCTCTGCATCTGGCAAACCGAGCTGGCATAAGGTACTCGCTTCTTGGTTTTTTCTTTAATTTTTTCCCGAGCAGTTTGTCACTTTATTTTCTTCCTATTTTGTCAGATTTTGTCTTATTTTTTCTTACATTATCGTATTTTGTCTTATGTTGTCTTATTTTCTCATATTTTGTCTTATTTTTGTCTTGGATAATGAAAAGACTCGAAATTCTTTATTTCTCGAACACTTTCTTCATCATTTCACCTTGATCTCAATTCCCCAAAATCTCAAGCGTATCCTCGTAAATGGCGATCATTTTCTCGAACACTTTCGTCATCATTTCACCTTTTTGAGTCTCATTTTTAATCTAGAAACTCAAAATTTATTTGAAAGAAGAAATCTGTGATTCTAATCATAAAAATAAAGGGGATAATTTGGGTAGACAAAGGAAGGAGCACTTTTTTTAGAAAACCCAGCAAATCAGAATCATAATCCCCGCACTCACTTTATTCATCGAGAACATCAAAACTGGACCAAGCATTGCCGTGTTGCACAAAGCCGCCAACGGAAAATACGCTCGATATTCGGATTTTAGCTAGAAAACAGCTAGAACAGTTAGAACAGTTAATACAGTTAGAACCTACCGTAAATACTTTAATAGTACCCCACCGCCCTCGTACAGTCGCGTAGTCGCAAAAGTTGAAGTTCTTTAGTATTTCTTTTTTTCCAAAGCGCCCATACTTTCAAAAAATGCGTCTTTGGTATGAAAAAATAGCTGAAATTCAGGGCTACTTTTTGATACCTAAGCGCGCATTGTAGCTCGACACTGGTTTATACCAGTGTCGAGAAAAACTCGTTCAAAGCTAGACTACGTAGCACTCCGCACCGTCATTATGGGGTTCATATCGTCACACCGTCTATTACAGTATTTACGGTAGATACTTTCCAAAAAAAATTACCTGCTCAATACTGAATGGCGCTTGGGAATCGCGGAGTTGCGAGTTTAAGCAAGAATGGTAGAACTCAAGTAATTCTTGTTCGCTGAATGGTTTATATGCTAGATAAACTTGAAAATTATATATCTAAGATATCATTATATATTTCTCAAAAAAAAAACCAACTATTTCCTTCGTATTTCCCCGGATAACCCTAAAATGAACGCTCTGAGCAAATCGTCAATTGGATTCCCGAGATGAGCCATCTAAAAGCTTTTCTAAGGCAGAAATCTTAATTCTAAACCAAAGATCAATTACTTTATATCTAAATTCTATCTTTTACATTTAAAATATCTTATAAAGTTTGTAGTTTTTTAAATAAATCAATGAATATGATAGATAGAGATGGATGATCAGGGAAAGCTTCACAGGAAAGCTTTGCAGGGAAAGCTTTGCAGAGAAAACTTTGCAGAGAAAACTTTGCAGGGAAAGCTTCGCAGGAAAGCTTTAGAGCTTTTAGAGCTCTACTGTAGCCAATGTGGCTCTTTTATAACCACTTAATTTGTATGCTAGAAGGGTTGCGTTCATGCCAACATGGCTCTAGGGATCTTTTTTGATGAATATGATAGACAGTGATGAATGATGAAATATTTCTTGATTCTCAAAGAAAGTTACATCCTTTTTATATTGATTAACAGGAAAGTACTTTAAGAATGTTATTTGTTGAAAGATTTGTTGAAAGTTTTATTGAAAGTTTCAGAAATTTGTTTGTTTAAATCCGCCAAAACTGTGGATACCTGGAAATCGATGAGAAATCGCAAATCTTCCGTCGTTTTGTCAAGCAGAAAATTCGTTGCCCACATATCTCCGTGACACAAAACGCCAGACATTCCTGGAAACGATTAGTTCATTTATGGGTTACGGTAGTGAGTCTAGGAGTTACTGTAGCTGTAGCTGTAGCTCTAGAGGTTACTGTACTAATGCAAAAGCTTTACGGTGGCTTTAGGGATTACTTTACTATTCTACCAGCTTGAGAATCACGTTAGGATACTGTACTACTGTAACTGACGGATTACTTTAGACAGGAGTTACCGACTGTAACTGCTATGGCCCTCTAGAGAGATTATTGTAGCTATCGGGATTACTGTGCTCATTGTAGCGGCTACTGTAGCCACTGTAGCCCTTAAGGATTACTGTACTGTAGCCCTTAAAGATTACTGTACTGTAGCCACTGTAGCTCTGAAGCTAGAGGCTACTGTAAGAGCTAGAGGTCCTTAGTCGCTAGACGTTACTGTAAAAGCTTTAGCGATTACTGTAGCCAATGTGGCTCTTTTCTAGCCACTTAACTCGTGTGCCAGAAGTGTTGCGTTCATGCCAACAAGGCTCTAGGGATCTTTTTTGAGTCAATTACCCGATTTCTCTGGATGATGCAGGGCGTCAAGTCGATCCAAATCGTAGATCTCATCGAATTTCCCCAGCATCCCATCGGCTAACTCGGCCAATCGATCCACTCCCAAATGTTTCAAACCAACGAATATCATTTTAAACTTCTGAAAAAAGAATTTTTAAAGATTTGTAAAGGTTTATAAAGGTTTATAAAGGTTTATAAAGGTTTATAAAGGTTTATAAAGGTTTATAAAGGTTTATGAAGATTTGTAAAGGTTTATAAAGATTTGTAAAGGTTTATAAAGGTTTATAAAGGTTTATAAAGGTTTATAAAGGTTTATAAAGGTTTATAAAGGTTTATAAAGGTTTATGAAGATTTGTAAAGGTTTATAAA